TGTAATTGCAGCTACTCAGGAGGCTGAGGCAGGAGAATTTCTTGAACCCGGGAGGCGGAGGTTGCAGTGAGCCGAGATCGTGCCACTGCACTCCAGCCTGGGCAAAAGAGCAAGACTCCATCTAAAAAAAAAAAAGGCCGGGCGCGGTGGCTCATGCCTGTAATCCCAGCACTTTGGGAGGCCGAGATGGGCAGATCATGAGGTCAGGAGATCAAGACCATCCTGGCTAACATGATGAAATCCCGTCTCTACTAAAAATACAAAAATTAGCCGGGCATGGTGGCGGGCGCCTGTAGTCCCAGCTACACGGGAGGCTGAGGCAGGAGAATGGCGTGAACCCGGGAGGCGGAGCTTGCAGTGAGCCGAGATCGGGCCACTGCACTCCAGCCTGGGCAACAGAGCCAGACTCCGTCTCAAAAAAAAAAAAAAGTGTTAGCTATTATATACTAGGCACATGCTAAGAACTTTACATTCAATTTCTCTAATTTTCAGCAAAAGATCCTACAGGGAAGTAGGTGCTATCCCCATTTTATAGAAATGAGGAAAGAGAGGCTGGGCGTGGTGGCTCACGCCTGTAATCCCAGCACTTTGGGAGGCCAAGGCGGGCAGATCATGAGGTCAGGAGTTCGACAGCAGCCTGACCAACGTGGTGAAACCCTGTCTCTACTAAAAATACAAAAATTACCCGGGCATGGTGGCGCCCGCCTATAGTCCCAGCTACTTGGGAGGCTAAGGCAGGAGAATCACTTGAACCCGGGAGGCAGAGGTTGCGGTAAGCCGAAATTGCACCATTGCCCTCCAGCCTGGTGACAAAGCGAGTCTCTGTCTCAAGAAAAAAAAAAAAAAAAAAATGAGGAAAGAGGCTCTTGAGCAAAATTACTCATCCTAGACCACTGAGCTAGTAAGTAGGGAAGCCAGGTTTCCACCCCAACACCCCCCGCCCCCGTCCCTTCTTGAGCCCTCATGCCCCAGCCCAGGTCCAGACACCCTCTCCCCATCTCAGGCCTTCAATGTGATCAACGGGGGCTCCCATGCTGGAAACAAGCTGGCCATGCAGGAGTTCATGATTCTGCCTGTGGGAGCCAGCTCCTTCAAGGAAGCCATGCGCATTGGTGCTGAGGTCTACCACCACCTTAAGGGGGTCATCAAGGCCAAATATGGGAAGGATGCCACCAATGTGGGTGATGAAGGTGGCTTCGCACCCAACATCCTGGAGAACAATGAGGGTCAGTGCTGAGCACCCTGGGGGGCAGACCCCCTGGATCTCCACATGGGCAGGGGAGGCTGTAGACAAGGGGTGCTGGAGTCTCAGGTCCTTTCTTGGTCCTCCCCCAGCCCTGGAGCTGCTGAAGACAGCCATCCAGGCAGCTGGTTACCCAGACAAGGTGGTGATCGGCATGGATGTGGCAGCATCTGAGTTCTATCGCAATGGGAAGTACGATCTTGACTTCAAGTCGCCCGATGATCCCGCACGGCACATCACTGGGGAGAAGCTCGGAGAGCTCTATAAGAGCTTTATCAAGAACTATCCTGGTGAGGCGCTCAGGTGTCCCAGTGTTCCTGCCCGAATCCCCTGCAGCTGCCTAATATCCTGATTTCAGTGACCTGCTTTACCATGGGCTTGGATCCTTCCAATCCTTAGCCCCATTGAAATCCCCATTTAAGCTCTTCTGCCCTGTTACCCATCCATGAGGGGCCTTCTGACCTCTAGCCCTGTCTCTGCTCCCAAACCCCACCAGTGGTCTCCATCGAGGACCCCTTTGACCAGGATGACTGGGCCACTTGGACCTCCTTCCTCTCGGGGGTGAACATCCAGATTGTGGGGGATGACCTGACAGTCACCAACCCCAAGAGGATTGCCCAGGCCGTTGAGAAGAAGGCCTGCAACTGTCTGCTGCTAAAGGTCAACCAGATTGGCTCGGTGACCGAATCAATCCAGGCGTGAGTGTCTCCTGACCCTGAGGCTCACCATCGCCTCCCTCTGCCCCAGCTCTGCCCACTCCAGCTACAGTCTCACCCACTAACTCCAAGCTTACCTTTCCCCTGGCACCTGACCTACCCACACGTTGATCTCAAGGCTTTGACTAATCCTTGGCCTGACTCCAAGAGCTTTGCCACTGTGGCCCTGTCATGACCCCCAACCCGCAGCCCACATCATTCCTCTCTTAGATTCTCCTCTTCTCACCAGCATCTCAAGAGCCCAAAATCAAGATGAGAATTCTTTTCCTCTCCTACTTCCCAAAGAACTTAGTCACTGCCCTCCCTGCAGAGTGCTTGCTACCCAAACAGCAGGGACAGGCCCCACCCAACCCCTGCTTTCCCACTGAGGAGTTTCTAGAAAGCCACATCAAATGTCCTCTCCACTCAGGTGCAAACTGGCTCAGTCTAATGGCTGGGGGGTGATGGTGAGCCACCGCTCTGGGGAGACTGAGGACACATTCATTGCTGACCTTGTGGTGGGGCTCTGCACAGGACAGGTACTTGCAGCTTCTGTCTACTGGGTGTCTCACCAAGTTTTCTTGGGGTCCCTGGCCTCCTGCCTCTGAGGTGAATGTTCCCTTGGGGCCAGGTCCAACCCCTCCTCTCCAACCTCACCCAACCCTCCAAATCCTTCTTCCCTCATCAGATCAAGACTGGCGCCCCCTGCCGCTCAGAGCGTCTGGCCAAATACAACCAACTCATGAGGTACAGCGGGAAGTGGGCCTGGGCATTGGGGTGCTGGAGGCTGTGAGGTTGGAAGGCAGCAGCCCTGACCTTGCCTGCATTCTAGGATCGAGGAGGCTCTTGGGGACAAGGCAGTCTTTGCTGGACGCAAGTTCCGTAACCCAAAGGCCAAGTGAGAAGCTGGAGGCTCCAGGAAAGAAATCCTGGACCGACCCAGGTCTTCCAGACCTGCTTCCTGAAATAAACACTAGTGCCAACCAAGACAGCTGTGTGCTTCTTTGTGGGAGCGAGGGGAGGGATGCTGGTTTCTGGGCTGAGCTGGGAAAGACAGGAGGTGGAGAGATGGGAGCAGGGAGGGGAGGCAAATAGATGTGTAACCCACTAGGACAAAGAGGAGGTGAGGGACTCAGAGAGGAAGCTGGGTGGATCTAGAACAGAGGTGTTCACATTTCCAAAGGAGGTAGGGGGAAGCAGATGCTATATGGTAAAATGAGGCAGAGTTGCCAGTGGAGCCAGGCATGGTGGCGCACACCTGTAGCCCCATCTACCTGGGAAGCTGAGTTGAGAGGATCGCTTGAGCCCAGGAGGTCGAGGCTGCGGTACACTCTGTTCGTACCACTGCACTCCAGCCTGGGCTGCAGAGCAAGACCCTGTCTCAAAGCAACAACAACAACAACAAAAACGAAAACAAAAAACTAAATAAAGAGTTTCAGAGGGAGTAAGAAACCAGCTCCAGGAGAGGGGAGCAGGGTGGGGCTGAGGGTCCTGCCACCACCATGAGGGGGAAGCTGGCTGTGAAGTAAATGGCCTGCAGAGGACACTAGAGTGAGGCTGCAGTCCCAGTGAGGGCTTTGTGAGGATGAGAGTGATAATGACAGTGATAATGACAGGATCTGAAACTGTTCCAAATATTTGACACGTATTGTCCTGCGCAATTGTTCAAACAGGTCTGTCAGATAGCTGCCATAATTATCCTTATTTTACAGGTGAGGAAACTGAGGTACAAAAGGTTAAATGCCTTACCCAAAGTAACGGTTGGCAGCTGGCAGGATTAGGATCCAAAGCCAAGGTATTTGACTCCAGCAATTATACTCTTGTATCTTTATTTTGAGCCAGCTTCTGGATCTGTCACCCAGGCAGGAGCGCAGTGATGCGATCACAGTTCACTGTAGCCTCAAACTCCTGGGCTCAAGCAATCCTCTTGCCTCAGCCTGCAAAGTAGCTGGGACTACAAGTGCACACCACCATGCATGGCTAATTTTTAAATTTTGTATATTTTATTTTCTTTTTGTAGAGAAGGTTTGTGGCCTAGACTGATCTCAAACTCCCGGAGTCAAGTGATTCTCCTGCCTCGGCCTCCCAAAATGCTGGGAGTACAGGTGTGAGTCACTGCACCCAGCCAATTTTTAAATTTAATGTAATTTAATTTAATTTTTATTTATTTATTTTTTGAGACAGAGTCTTGCTCTGTCCCCCAGCCTGGAGTGCAGTGGCAGGACTCGGCTCACTGCAAGCTCTGCCTCCCGGGTTCACGCCATTCTCCTGCCTCAACCTCCTGAGTAGCTGGGACTACAGGCGCCCGCCACCACGCCCGGCTAATTTTTTTGTATTTTTAGTAGAGACGGGGTTTCACCATGTTAGCCAGGATGGTCTCCATCTCCTGACCTCATGATCCGCCTGCCTCAGCCTCCCAAAGTGCTGGGATTGCAGGTGTGAGCCACCGCGCCCGGCCAATTTTTTAATTTTGTAGAGAGAAAGTCTCACTATGTTGCCCAGGCTGATCTTGACCTCCTGGCCTCAAGTGATCCTCCAGCCTTGGCCTCCTAAAATGCTGGGATTACAGGTGTGAGCCACTGTGCCCAGCCTCTGATTGCACTCTTAAAATACTGCATCTTATAAAACCCTCTGGGCTGGGCACAGTGGCTCACACTTGTAATCCCAGCACTTTGGGAGGCTGAGGTGGGCAGATCACCTGAGGTTGGGAGTTAGAGACCAGCCTGGCCAATATGATGAAACCCTGTCTCTACTAAACACACAAAAAATTACCCGAGTGTGGTGATGCATGCCTGTAGTCCCAGCTACTCAGGAGGCTGAGGCAGGAGAATCGCTTGAACCCTGGAGGCAGAGGTCGCAGTGAACCGAGATCGCACTACTACACTCTAGCCTGGGCAACAAAGACTCCGTCTCAAAACAAACAAAAAACCTCTGATAGTGTCATCTGGCCATGTTTAACCTACACAAACAGCAATTTTATGCTGTTCAGCTGAAAATTATTCCCCTTCTTCTCTACCAGTGGCTCCAGGACCCACCTTTCTGGGCACAAACCAACCAGGATATTGGGTTAAACAGCATTTATTGAATGTAAAGTACCCCAGCCCCATGGGGAAGAAAATTCCAAGAACAGGGAATCATACAGATTAAATACCCACTGTGCATTCACACTCTCACACAAACACACACACACCACACACATATCCACGCTCCAACAGTGACAAATCAAACACCTGTTTTCCCCCAGCCCGCGGGACAGCTGGTAGGAGGCGGTTCAGAGGTGGGGCTCCAGGATGGGTTCTAATAGCAGCAGCCTAGTCCCTCCCTGCCCCCTGCCCTGCCCCAGGGGTCAAAGGGAGCTGGGCGGGGCGCCTACGAGGTTGGTGGCAACTCTTCCCCACTCTGCCGCAGACGCTTCTTGGCTCTGATCTCATTCATAGCCTCTTCAATGGAGCGTGTGTCCCTCTTATTGGCCACGGGCACTAGGGGCAGAGAGGAGGGTAGGGAGGACTTAGAAACCCGTACCTCAGCCTCCACTGCCCTCCCACCACATCCTATGCTCCTCTCCCAGCCACCCCCGGCTGCACTGTGGCCTCACCACAGCCGTAGGTTTTATTGGCCTGCAGCATGTGGGCTGCGTCTTTCGCTGCTCCCTTGCCAATGAGGTGGCTGTACTTGTCCTTGTAGTCGCTAGCAGGGCTCACCACCACGGGCCCCTGCTGGGCTGCCTCCTCCTCCTGCCTCTGAGCCAGCTCCTAGGGGTGAAAGTGGGGGCACTGGTGCTCAGGGCCCCAGCCCAAATCCCCACCCCTCCCAGGTGGTGGGCTTCTGGGCCCCAAGGGCTGCCAAGCATAGCTCACCTTCAGCTTCCGCTTCTCCTCAGCCTTCTGGGGATCCCATTCCTCTCCACGACGGTAGGAGTCTAGCTCTTCATCTGAGGGTGCAAACTCCTGGAGAAGGGCACAATGATGGGGTCAGAGTCCATACAAATGTTTCATTTCATTCCTTCGTCGGGGAGAGGGGAGAAGGCCACAAAGGGGAGAGGAGAGAAAGAGGAACTCAGGTCTTTTACCTTTTTGAAGATCATGACATAGCGACAGTCATCATCTTCCCCAAAGGAGAAGGATGTCAGGCCAGCCACTTCCACTACATCATGTCTGGGATGGGACAGCAGAGGGGAAAGAGTATCGTGAGCCAGGAGCGGGCCTAGTGCCCTCCTCTGGAGGAGCCCCCTGCTGGCCCTTTCATGCCCCGCTAGCCACCCATTTCCTTCTTCCCCCAGCCCCTGGACACTCACAGTATGCTCCTCTCGATCTTGTTCATTGGCTGAAACTTTTTCTTGATCTGCCCACTGTCTTGAATGAAATCTGACACCTCCTTCTCCATCTTGGGAGAGGGGAAAGGAACAAGATATGAAACAATGGCTCCACCCAAGTACCCCCCTCCCCAGCTGAGTTGGCGGCCCTTCTACGCCTCCCCAGCACCCTCCCGAGCCTCCATGCCACTGGCTTCCAGGCATCACCTCTCTCGAGACATTTTCAGCAAAACTGAGTCCTCAACCTTCCAATTTTAACTTATTGGAAGTCCTTCCTGAGTCTGCCTTTGATCACTCCAGTTGTTCTCACCCTTTTACGAAACTCCACTTTCTGTTGTTTCTCTTGCTCTTGTAGTTTCTTCAGGCGGGCAGCCTGTTCTGGGGGTGAGAAATGGCAGCATGAAGCCGGGGCTGGAAGCATGGATGGGGAAGGTTTCTAAGTCTTCAAGTGAAGTGTGGTGCCCCCTGGGAAGTGTCAGGCTGGGAAGGTAGGATTAGCGTTTATTCATCAAGCATTTATTGATGTTTATTCTACCTAATAGTCCCCCTTATCCACGGGGGCTTTCAGTGGATGCCTGAAATTGTGGATAGTACTGACCCTTATATATACTATGTCTTTTTCTACACATACATGGCTATGATAAAGTTTAACTTATAAATTAGGCACAGTAAGAGATTAAGAATAACAAGCCAGGCACGGTGGCTCAAGCCTATATCCCAGCACTTTGGGAGGCCAAGGCAGGTGGATCACCTGAGGTCAGGAGTTCGAGACCAGCCTAGTCAACATGGTGAAACCCCATCTCTACTAAAAATACAAAAATTAGCCAGGTGTGGTGGTGGGCACCTATAATTTCAGCCACTGGGGAGGCTGAGGCAGGAGAATTTCTTGAACCTGAGAGGCAGAGGTTGCAGTGAGCTGAGATCGTGCCATTACACTCCAGCCTGGGCAACAAGAGTGAAATTCTGTCTCAAAAGAAAAAAAAAAAAAAAAAAAGAGAGATGGCTGGGCGCGGTGGCTCACACCTGTAATCCCAGCACTTTGGGAGGCCGAGGTGGGCGGATCATGAGGTCATGAGATCGAGACCATCCTGGCTAACACGGTGAAACCCCATCTCTACTAAAAAATATATATATACAAAAAATTAGCCAGGCGTGGTGGTGGGTGCCTGTAATCCCAGCTACTTGGGAGGCTGAGGCAGGAGAATGGCATGAACCTGGGAGGCGGAGCTTGCAGTGAGCCGAGATGGCGCCAATGCACTTCAGCCTGGGCGACAGAGCTAGACTCCACCTCAGAGAAAAAAAAAAAAAAAAGAGAGAGAGAGAAAAAAAAACAATAATACAATAGAACACTTATAACAATGTACTGAAATAAAAGTTTGTGGCTGTGCTCTCTCTCTCTCTCAAAATATCTTATTGTATATAATAGTTCCGGGCTGCAGGTAACTAAAACCTTGGAAAGCAAAACCTTGGATAAGGGAGAGCAGGGACTACTGTATCTGGCACCAGGCGAGACCCTGAAGTACTGAGATGATTAAGACACAATGTGGCCCTTCAAGAGTTCCCAGTTTAGTGGAAGTGACAAAGATCAGAATAATGCTTAACCCCCTTTTCCAACTCCACTGGGGAAACCAATGAACAAACATTGATTCATTGATTGATTTTTGAGATGGAGGCTCACTCTGTCACCCAGGCTGGAGTGCAGTGGCATGATCTCAGCTTGCTGCAACCTCCGCCTCCCGGGTTCAAGCGATTCTCCTGCCTCAGCCTCCCAAGTAGCTGGGATTACAGGCACACACCACCACACCCAGCTAATTTTTGTATTTTTAGTAGAGATAGGGTTTCACCATGTTGGCCAGGCTGGTCTCGAACTCCTGAGCGCAGGTGATCCACCCACCTCGGCCTCCCAAAGTGCTGGGATTACAGGCGTGAGCCACTGCACCCGGCCTATATATTTATTTCTGGGACAGGATCTCACTTTATTGCCCAGGCTGGAGTGCACTGGCACAATCACAGCTCACTGCAGCCTAGACCTCCCTGGCTCAAGGGATCCTCCTACCTTAGCTTCTCAAGTAGCTGGGGCCACAGCCGTGTGCCTCCATGCTCAGCTACTTTTTAAAAAATAATTAAACAAAAATATTTGTGAGATGAGGTCTCACTACGTTGCCCAGGATGGTTTTTTTTTTTTTTTTTTTGAGACGGAGTCTCACCCTGTCACACAGGCTGGAGTGCAATGGCACAGTCTTGGCTGACTGCAACCTCTGCCTCCCAGGTTCAAGAGATTCTCCCGCCTCAGCCTCCCAAGCAGCTGGGACTACAGGCGTGCGCCACCATGCCCGGCTAATTTTTGTATTTTTAGTAGAGATGGGGTTTCAGTATGTTGGTCAGACTTGTCTCGAACTCCTGATCTCGTGATCTGCCCACCTCAGCCTCCCAAAGTGCTGAGATTATAAGTGTGGGCCCAGGCTGGTCTTGAACTCAGCTTCAAATACCCCTCCCACCTGGGCCTCTCAAACTGCTTGAGAGGCTTGGGCCTCCGCACCTAGCCTTGGATTTTTTTTTTTTAAGTTTTCTGTTAAGATGGGGTCTCAGTTTGTTGCCCAGCCTGGTCTCCAACTGGCTTCAAGCAATCCTCCCACCTTGGCCTTCCAAAGTGTTGGGATTATAGGTGTGAGCCACCATGCCCGGACTATAGTTAGTTCTTTGTACATTGTGGGCATTAAATAAATGTTTGGGCTGAGTGTGGTGGCTTACGTATATAATCCCAGCATTTTGGAAGGCCAAGGTGGGAGGACTGCTTGAGGTCAGAAGTTCGAGACCAGTGTGGGCAATATAGTGAGACCCTGTCTCTACAAAAAATAAAGAATTAGTCAGGCATCGTGATGCATGCCTGTAGTCCCAGCTACTCGGGAGGTTGAGGTAGGAAGCTCACTTGAGCCCGAGAGGTCTAGGTGACAGAGCAAGACCCTGTCAAAAAAAAAAAAAAGAAGAACTATAATGCATCTGGGAAGGAAAAGAGACTCAGACCCTGGCCTCAAAGAGTCTATCATCTCGTTGTCTACACAGCAAAGGGGAATTTTTTTTTTTTTTGAGACAGAACCTCGTTTTGTCACCCAGGCTGGAGTGCAGTGGCATGATCTCGGCTCACTGCAACCTCCGCCTCCTGGGTTCAAGCGATTCTTCTGCCTCAGCTGTCTGAGTAGCTGGGACTATAGGCACCCGCCACCACACCCAGCTAATTTTTGTATTTTTAGTAGAGATGCGGTTTCACCATATTGGCCAGGCTGGTCTCGAACTCCTGACCTTGTGATCCGCCTGCCTCGGCCTACCAAAGTGCCAGGATTACAGGCTTGAGCCACCGCGCCCGGCCAGAAAGGGGAAATTATTTAACTTCCTATATTTTGTAAAATCCCCCACTTCCCACTTCTACAGACAGGATAAAGCCGAAATGGATAATCTGACACCCTTCTCCTTTGGGAGTCCAAGGTTAGCTGTGAAGGGTCTTTTTTTTCTGAACTCTTGGGCCCAAGAGATCTGCCTGCCTCTTGCCTGAAGATGCCCGAGACCCCATCTTTACAGAAAACGTAAAAAAAAAAAAAAAAAAAAAAATAGCCAGGTCTGGGTGCAGAGACTCAAGCTTCTCAAGCAATTTGAGAGGCCAAGGTGGGAGGATCACTTGAGGCTGGGAGTTCAAGACCAGCCTCCCAAAGTGCTGGGATTACAGCAGTGAGTCCCCTCGCCTGGCTAAGGGTCTTATTTAACTTTCTTCCTCTTCCTTCATGCTGCCTCTGGAGGAGGAGGAGGAATTTCTTTCTTTCTTTTTTTTTTTTTTTGAGACGGAGTCTTGCTGTGTCGCACAGGCTGGAGTACAGTGGCGCGATCGCGGCTCACTGCAAGCTCTGCCTCCCGGGTTCACGCCATTCTCCCACCTCAGCCTCCGAGTAGCTGGGACTACAGGCGCCGGCCACCACGCCTGGCTAATTTGTTGTATTTTTAGTAGAGACGGGGTTTCACCATGTTAGCTAGGATGGTCTCGATCTCCTGACCTCCTGATCCACCCGCCTTGGCCTCCCAAAGTGCTGGGATTACAGGCGTGAGCCACCGCGCCCTGCCGAGGAGGAGGAATTTCTAACCCGGGCCCTCCATGCTTGCCTGTCTTCCCCACGATGTGATTTTACTACCTCTTGAGATTTGGGTGCATGCTTCTTCCTATTCCTGCTCCTCAGCCTGAAATTTTTCTCTCTTTTGCCATTTCAAATCCTTTACATCCTTAAGGCCTCCTTCTTCCACAGGATCTGAATCCTCTCCAGCTGCACTGAACCTCTCCCCATCATTTATTTATTTATTTATTTATTTATTTATTTATTTATTTATTTCGAGACAGAGTCTCGCTCTGTGCCCAGGCTGGAGTGCAGTGGCGCGATCTCAGTTCTCTGCAACCTCTGCCTCCCAGGTTCCAGCGATTCTCATGCCTCAGCCTCCTAAGTAGCTGGGATTACAGGTGTGAACCACCACATCTGGCTAATTTTTTTTTTTTCTTTTTCTTTTTATGAGATGGAGTTTCGCTCTCTTTGCCCATGCTGGAGTGCAGTGGCGCAATCTTGGCTCACTGCAACCTCTGCTTCCTGGGTTCAAGTAATTCTCCTGCCTCAGCCTCCCAAGTAGCTAGGATCACAGTCATGCGTCACCACACCTGACTAATTTTTGTATTTTTAGTAGAGATGGGGTTTCTCCATGTTGGTGAGGCTGGTCTCAAACTCCCGACCTCAGGTCGGAGTTCATCTGTCCGCCTCAGCCTCCCAAAGTGCTAGGACTATAGGCGTGAGCCACCACGCCCGGCCATTTTTTTGTATTTTTTGTAGAGACGATGTTTCACCATGTTGGCCAGGCTAGTCTTGAACTCCTGACTTCAAGTGATCTGCCTGCCTCAGCCTCCCAAAGTTCTGGGATTATAGGCATGAGCCACGGTGCCCAGCCCTCTCCCCATTTTTAAAAAATAACTCCATGCCTTTGCACATGTTCCTCTGCTTGGAATGCTTTTCCTCTTCTTGCAAACATTGAGATCTACCATGAGTCAGAGTTACTTCTTCCCCTGGGCTCCAAGGTCCTTTGGCTCAGACACCCAGCATAGCATACAGAACTAACGTATCATAACTTTTTGTCTCCTTTAGCATAGTATGAGCTCCTGGAGGGCAGGGATCCTGTTCATCTACTGCTCAGTTATCCTCTGGAGCCCCAGGGCCTGACAGCCTAGGAGCTCTCATCCCTCTGCCCTCACTGACCATCAGGGAATTTCATTTTTTGTTGTTGGAAACAGTCTCAATTTCACTGCCCAGACTGGAGTGCAGTGACGCAATCACCTCTCACTTGCAGCCTCAACCTCCCAGACTCAAGTGATTCTCCCAGCTTTTGGAATTCTCCCAAGATTCTCCGGAGAATTGGGACCACAGGAGCGCGCCACTGAGCCCGGTTATCATTTATTTATTTATTTATTTATTTATGAGACGGAGTCTAGCTCTGCCGCCAGGCTGGAGTGCAGTGGCGCAATCTTGGCTTACTGCAACCTCCGCCTCCCGGGTTCAACCGATTCTCCTGCCTCAGCCTCCTAAGTAGCTGGGATTACAGGCACGCGCCACCACGCCCAGCTAATTTTTGTATTTTTAGTAGAGACAGGGTTTCACCATGTTGGCCAGGATGGTCTCGATCTCTTGGTCTCATGATCGCCCGCCTCGGCCTCCCAAAGTTTTGGGATTACAGGCGTGAGCCACAGCGCCTGGCCAATTTTTGTATTTTTTTGTAGAGACGGGGTTTCTCCATGTTGCCTAGACTGATCTTGAACTCCTGGGCTCAAGTGATCCATCCGCCGCAGCCTCCCAAAGTGGTGGGATTACAGGTGTGAGCTACAAGGCCGGACCCCACTGACTGTTCTTTAACTGGTTTTCGAGTCTTCTCTGCATCTAGAGAAGTGGCATAAGATTATGGTCAAGAACATAGGCTTCAACCCCAGTCATACCTGGGTTTGAAACTCTGCCACTTACCAAACTAACCATGTGACCTCAGGCGAGTGACTAACTTAAGCTTCCTAGTCTGTCAATGCAGCTGGTGATCACCCACTTAGACAGTCAGTCATCAGAACATTACAGAATTCCAGTTCCCCGTTCCCATCATGCTTCCTCCTTCCTCAGAGATTTCAAATAGACTCTTTTGCCTGTAACGCTTTGCTTCTCTCTCTCATTTACAGAATTATCTGTTCTGATCTCGGCTCACTGCAGCCTGAGGGAGAAACTCAGGTGGACGCTCTCACAGTTATTTTTCTCTCAGAGCACTTATCAAGTTGGTTATTAAACTTCCATGTGATCACTGCATCAATGAGCGCCCCAGCCCCGGACTGTGGCCTCCCTGAGGGGTACCCCTGGCTCCTAACAGTTGTTCAGGAAATAACGAGACGAAGTGTAGGCATCCAGCACCCCTTGAATACTCGGAAGGCGTCCTGCCTGCCCTGGCCCCCCTGGGGCATGTGGGGAGCCGGGACAGGGTTCGTCCGCGGTCAAGGTCCGCAGGTTTGGGAGTTGGGGTCCTGCATTCCGCCAGGATCATCCCAAGCCCAAACACGACCAACTCCGTGGAGGCTCCCACCGCCCCGCCGGGCCGCGCCCTACGCCGGCCGCCGAACTCCAGCCCGCCCGCAGGGAAGCTACTCAGAGAACGCAAGCGGAGACAGTGGCCAATCGGACCCGGCGGGCATTCTCATCCCTCCAATCAACACTACGATCCGCCAGGGCAGCTCGGGAATTTAAGGCTACAGATGGGAAAAAGGTTGTAGAAAGGAGGCAGAAGGGACTGGGTTAAATCAAGCAGGAGGGGCAAGAAGACACAGAGGACCCAACAACCAATGGGAGTTCTGAGGCTGGGGTGGGTCCGAAGGAAGGTCGAAACGGCCTAGGAGGCAGAGCTTCAAGTTGAGATAGCCAATGGAGATGAAGGCAGAGTAGATGGGCGTGTCCTAAATCCAATCGAAATAGAGCTAGAGGCGGGCGGGGCAGGAATGCGGCAGGTTGGAGGCACCCTACCAATCAGACCAGGTCAGCAGCGGACAGGCGGGCCGGTTGGCTAATGGGAAACAAGGACTGCGGAAGGCCAGGGTCGGGAGAAGAGGCAGGAGGCTGGCGCTATCTTTCAGGTAGCCAATCACTGTCCGCTAAGAACAGCGGGCGTGTCAGCAGCCCTTTTAGGGACTCTGAGGGTCTCGGAAGGGGCCTGTGAGGGGTCTTTCAAGGTTGAGGAGGCGGCATCGTCCAAAGAGGGAAAAGTGCGGTCCTGAGAACCGGGCGAAGGAAGGCGGTTGTGAATTTGGGATCCTCACCTCGGGCCTTGCGCCGAGTCTCCTGGTCACCGAGGCTGGGTGGCTTCTCCATGGAGCTCAGGATGGAGCCCAGTAGGTCCGCCATCTTGGGAGTGACTGAGAGGGGGCGGTGCGTCTTAAAGGGAAGGGCGGAATGCCTTTAAGGCCGGAAACACGTCGGAGGCGGAAAATCCCGAGCCCGCCTGGCCCGGGCGCAGATCCGATGCCAGCGGCGCGTGGCGACCTCCAGCTGGCCGAGGCCCCGCCCCGCCCCCGTAGACAGAGGCCGCAGGCTGGCTGGTGCAGCGATGTTTAATGGCAATTCGTATAAACCAAGCCCATGCACAAGTAGAAAGTGCCCGTGGAGCCGGCAGGAGGCCCCCGCCGCGCTAGAGAACCACAAGCCCGGCCGTGCAGCCCTCCCCGCGGCGCCTTAAATAGATTCTTCACTATACTCTGTATGTTACAGTATGTACAAGACCCCTCCCCTCGGGGGACGGGGCGGACTCCGCAACGCGTTCCTATGTACACCACCTCCCCTTCGGCCCTGAGGTCGGTGGCCAGAGTCGGGTGATGGGGTAAGACAGGGCCAGAAAGGGAGGAAACAGACGCAAACATGCGGAGTCGGGTGGGGGCATGGTCAGCCCTGAAACACGAGGGGCGTGCGCAGCGAAGGCAGAGGTGGGAACCGAGGCGGATACATTCAGAGACGCGTCGAACAAATAAATAAGGCAAGTCAGGAGGGGGCCGAGTCGGGTGCAGGCAGGAGGAGCTGGGGAGCAGGGGCAGGCAGGGCTCTGGAGGTCACAGCGGAAGATGCAGGTATGTGGGGCGCGGCTCCTCTGGAGCCAGGACCAAAAGAGATGGGGCACGACCAGGAGGGACGAGGAGAGGGGTGTGGGAGCAAGGCGTGGGGAGGAGGGCGGAGGCCTTCGAAGGGCTCCAACAAAGGTGAACGGGAAAGCTGCCGACAGGGGCTCCCCCTGCCCCAGAAAGCCCTCTCCCTGTTAAGACTGCACGAGGCGTCCCCAGGGTGGTGAGAAAGGCGGTGGCCAGGTCAGGTGGCCAGTCCCGGCTGGGGAAGCCCTTCCAGCTCCTGGTTCTGCTTCAGTTCCCTCATCCTGCAGAAAGAAAGATAGGAGTCAGAGAAGACTGGCGATCAGGACGGGTGGCAGGGGGAGAAGGGATGAGTACCTGTGTCGGCAGCGCCGCAGGAATCTCATGATCTTCCGGGCTGCCTGGTCCTGCTTCTTGGTGAGAAAGGAGCCTCTGGTGAAAGAAATAAAAGATGGACCTCACAGAACCCCCCAGGCATTGCATGCCTTCGGCCCCCTGGAACCCTAGGCAGGGAATATCAGTGAGGCAAGATGATCAAGAAGATGAATAAGGGGGAATGGCGTGGACGCAGTGGGTGGGCACAGAGGGCTGGGGCTGAGCCCTACTTGTTGCGGGCAGGCAGGGTGGCCGAAGGCCGGTGGGGAGGGCCGGGCCTGCGGCGGTAGGAGCGGTAGTGCTGCTGGATGAGCACAGCCGCTCGGCGGCTCTGCTGAAATCGCTTCTGTTCATAGTAGCTTCGGAACTTGCTCTGGATCAGGATGGCCGCCTGGGTCATCTTCTTATAGAGTGCAAACTGCAGGGGTGGGGAGGAGGGCCAGGGGCTGAAATCGAGGGACAGAGACCCAAAGCCTTGGGGCTCACCCAAGATAGGCTGATGCAAGGCTCTTTCTGTAACCCACACACTCAAGGAAAGTCTGAATCATCACAGACCTCACACTCAGATCTCATGCCTAATACCTTAAGTGCAATCCAGGTCAGCTTGTGGAGAGAGAAGGGGAGTTAGGACGCTGGCAGCATTCTGGAATGGTTAGGCGTGGGTGTGGGTTGGTGGGTTGGCGGGTATGCTTTTGAGGGAGAAGGGTCTCACCTGCTTGTACTTGCGGTAACAGCGCTGGATTACAGCTGCTGCTACCTCCTGCTGCTCCTTCAGCCGCCGGCCCTGAGGGGAGAGAAGTCTCAGCACCTCATGACCCACATAATGGGATATCTGACTTGTCCCTCCAACTTTTCTGGGGTTCCCCTGACCCTTTACCCCATCCAAGGCCTGTCTGCATGACTACTCGTCCTCCAAAAGCCCTGGGAGCCCAGTCTCCCCTGACTGGAGATGGTATAATTCATCCTGAGTCCCCTGTCCCTCTGACCTTGTACTTTCGGAAGGCCGTCTGGATGACTCGGGCCGCCTCATACAGTTCCCGCTGCTCATGGTCGGATAATGTCAGCAGGGCAAAATCACTTTCCATCTTGCCACTGGTAGATGCAGAGAGAAACTCTGCCCAGGAGGGTGCTGGAGGGACAGCCAGGCGACCTCGCTCAAAGGGCAGTTCGCTGTAGGGGGCAGGGAAAGAGGGTGTCATGAAGCATCTGAAGTGTCTCCTCTGCTACCTATGGGTGGCTATGAAGGAAGACCACCAGCAAGTGAGTCTGGAGAGAGACTTCAGAGTTCATCAGCCAGTTCAGTTCGCTTCTCCAAGGCACTGGGGCCTCCGCCAGAATGGAGCTTTGGCTGTGGAAAACCACCTTTCTCCCTTCCTCCCATCTCTGAAGAATCTGGAGGCTTTGTCCTGAGCTAGTCACCTGGGAGGGGTTGAGCTGGGGAAATGGTCCACATTCTCCAGGTAGCTGGCCAGCCAGGACATGGTCTCACTGAGTCCCACAGCCCCTGTTCGCTCCCGCATTGAGGCTCCAGCCTCAGGCAGCCCCACAAAGTCCTCTCGTTTAATCCGCTCTGGTGTGGCTTCGATGATCTGCTTGGCCAGTGAGATCATGTCCACCTGGATGAAGGGAGAAGCTGAGTGAACCCTTAGGGGGCCCAACTGCCAGCTGTAACCTCCGTCCATTCCTGTCCCGTTCCTTCTCTCCCTGCCAGGCGCTGCTAACCCTGTCTTTCTGGGCCACTGTTCCAGACTCATTCATTGATACTGGTGGGGCTCCCACTTGGGGGTCCCTCAGTGCTAAGATGCTATGGAGAATACAGGATAAAAAGGAGATACTCCCAAGTGGGGATTCAGAAGCTGAACAAATGGAGGACTTGACACCCTTTCAGGCCAACCATCCACTGTCCTACCTGGACCTGCCCCATGCCAGCTGACCAGCACATGCTCCCCATAGGCTTGGCTGTGCCCACCCCCAACTCCCTTTCAACTCTCCAAGAACCATCCCAACACTTGCCAACTACTGCCCTGATGAATGGCTCCAGTCTGGCCTTTGCTTCAGCCCTGAAGCCTATGCTCCAGTACTTCCTGCTGGACACACTCAACACGGCCTACTTGTGGAGTTCTCTTAAGCTTTTTGTACTTAAAGTGCCACCCACTTACTCCCATTAGTCTCTCTAAACCACGTATGTCCCCAGTCTCTAGCAGATAAGTACAAGGCTATACTTGAAGATTCACTTTCACTCCACAGACTTTCTTAGCTTTATCATGTGCAGGCCTCCTCCTGCATGAGATCACTGCCAAATACCCCCATCTTGCCCACCTTCCTTCTCCACACAACTCCCAGCTGCCCTCTGTCATCTCGGTTCTCCTAGAACCTTGTCCCTACATGGATCAACAGGTAACTCCTACAAACCAGCTCTAACTGAAGATATTCCCCAGAATTTTCGTTCGTTATAGAGACAGGGTTTCTTGCCCAGGCTGGAATGCAATGGTAGTCAGCTCACTGCAGCTTCATACTCACGGGCTCAAGGGATTCTCCTACTTCAGCCTCCCAAGTAGCTACAACTGCAGGTGTGTGCCACCATGCCTACTTTTTAAAAATTACTTTTTGTAGAGATAGGGTCTTGTTATGTTGGCCAGACTGGTCTCAAATCCCTGGCCTCAAGTGATCCTCTCACCTCGTTCTCTAAAGTGCTGGGATTACAGGGGTGAGCCACTGCACCCAGCCAGAATATTTTTTAATGCTTTTTATATTTTAAATCTTACTATTTTGTCTTTTTTTTTTTTTTTTTTTATGACTTCCAAGTCACATGGTCTGAAAGGAGCTAAGCAAAAGGCTACCTACTTTTTAAAAATTACTTTTGTAGAGATAGGGTCTTGCTATGCTGGCCAGACTGGTCTCGCAATCCCCTGGCCTCAAGTGATCCCCACCTGCTTCTAAAGTGCTGGGATTACAGGGGTGAGCCACTGCACTCCAGCCAGAATATTTTTAATGCTTTTTATATTTTAAATCTTACTATTTTGTCTTTTTTTTTTTTTTTTTTTTTTTTTTGAGACAGAGTCTCACTCTGTCACCCAGGCTGGAGTGCAGTGGTGCAATCTCCGTTCACTGCAGCCTATGCCTCCCAGGTTCAAGCGATTCTCATGTCTCAGCCTCGCAAGCAGCTGGGATTACAGGCATGTACCACCATGCCCAGTTAGTTTTTGTATCTCTTGTAGAGGTGGGGTTTCGCCATGTTGCCCAGGCTGGTCTCAAACTCCGGGCCTGAAGTGATCCACCCGCCTCGGCCACCCAAAGTGCTGGGATCACAGGTGTGAGCCACCCAGCCCGGCCAAAAAAATTTTTTTTTCCAACATCTGAATTGTGGGATCAGCCAGAATTTAACCTGCACTGCCTCATGATCATGACTTCCAAGTCACATGGTCTGAAAGGAGCTAAGCAAAAGGCTACCTTGCCTGTCCCAAAATGAAGTAAAGGGGTCTTTCCTAAACTGAAGCCAGACTTTGATTCTGCTTCATGGAAGTCGGCCTCACCCTACCTACTCCACTTCTAGCCCCCATAACTCCGTCGACAGAAGCAGTACCGGGATCACATCCACAGCCTGTGGGCTGTCGGCATCCTCTGGAGCGGCCCCATCATCTGAGGCTGGTGGGAGGGCAGGAGGGGAGGACAGGGGCCCCTTGGAGTTGGTAGCCTCATAGTCCATGAGGAGTAGGGGGGCCTCTGGGACACCAGAGGAAAGCTGGCCTGGGGCCATATCCTCCATAGTCATCTCAGAGGCTGGCAGAGATGCAGGGGGGGGACTGCCATCTGGGGCACTAGAATAGGCTGATGTGACGGAGAAGGTGCCATCCGACAGCTCCGAGGGTGAGGAGACGCTGCTCAGACCTGTGTGGGGAGGGAAGAGGGTCAGGGCAGCAGGAGCCACGGCCATCCCTCGATCGAGTCTCCTGCCTCCGCCATCCTGTTATGGGTTCCCCTGTCTGTTCTTGCTTCTGTTATCTCATCCCTGCCTCTGTGATTTGTCTTCTCTTTTACTCGTTTCCCACCCTTTGGCTTTGCCCTGGCCTAGCCTCCTACCCACATCCCTCTCTCCAAAAGATTAGGGCCACCCTCACCAGTGTCCGGGCTGGAGGAGGGTGGTGATAGGGCAAGTGGGGGCTCCACCGAAGCCTCTTGTCTCTGTAGTTCTTCAAGGCAGCGGGCAAGGCGCACATGACCCCGGGAATGAGCCACAGACAATGGCAGACGGCCCAGAGAGTCGGGAATGCTCAGTGCCTGTCGGTTCCAACGGAAAAGGAGCACAGCAGCTTCCAGGTGTCCCAAGGCACAAGCCCACATCTGAGGAAGGGGGCGGGACAGGAGGTGGAGGTTGAGGCCCGGGGCTCTTCCTTCAGTAGTCAGGTCTTCAGACCCCAGCCCACCCCACTCCCTGCATTCCTGAGGATCTTCCTTTTCAAGGGCAGTTCCCATTGCCCAGTGCCCCATGTGCACTCAGGAATTGTCATCCTCACCAGAGGGGTGCAAGAGAAATGATCCACGTTGAGCGGGTCAACCTCTTGCTCTAAGTCCAAGCTTCCAGTCTCCACACTCCTGGAGGGTTTGGGAGAGAGACAGCGGAGCCCAATGAGGGAAGAAGTGGGCAAAGTAAGAACATCAGAAGTAAAGGCACTAGGAGGCAAGCTGTACAGGGCCGGTGGGAAGAGGCAGTCAAGGACACTAGTTTAAGGAGGTCAAGAAGTCAAAGTGTCTTAAGTCCGGATATCAAAGTTCCCCAAAATGTAAGTCCTCTCCCAGCCCCCTCCCTTCCCACAATGACCCCAGCTCCCACTTGGTAGGGCCCCAGGTCCTCCAGTTCCTCTTCAGTCCCTCTTCAGTCCCCTGACGCTTCTGTCCCAGAGGCTGCCCAGCCCTCACCCAGCTGCCCTTGCTCACCGCCACTGGCTCAGGGTCTCGATGAGGCGGGCATAGCCCTGGGCAGCAGCCAGGTGCAGAAGGCTCATGCCCCGGAAGGGGCTTCCGTGGGCCAGACGTTCAGGACCCTTCCAGGTGGAGCGTGGGATCATGCTTTCTACCAAGACCACTACCCGTGCCTCGAACCCAGGCCCCTGGCCTTCATCCTGCGACATACACACTCTTAGGCAGAGACCCAGGTATCTGCTCCCCTGGCTTGGGATGGCCTTGGCCACCTCACATCTGTCCTCCCAGCTTCGAATTTTACCCCCTCCCCACGCGTCCCACTCTAGGATCCCATCAGTTAAAGTTCCTGTGTGGCCTCAGTGACTCCTGCTCCCAGAGCCACTTCCTCCGGCCCATCCAGCAGCCAGAGCTCTCACCATCTTGCCCACGTGCCTTCCCATCAGCTCAGATGAGTGCCATATTCACACATAGCTTCTTCCCCTCAGAAGCCAGAGCCTTCTCTGAGCAGTTCCTCAGCCCTCTTCTTTCAGAAACTTGGGACCCACTGCGATCTAAGCCCCAAAATGCTCCTGACCCCTCCCCCGCCCTCTCCTTCACCTCCACCCTTCTTCAGACCAGAAATAGTCTGAAGCCCGTCATGCCAAGAGGATGCCCAGAATAGCCACTCTATCCACGAGGTGGGGATGGGAACGGGGTGACGTCAGGGAGAGGGAAGACAGGCTGAGGAGGCTGGGGACGGGAGGGAGGAGAGCCACGGGCGCTAGACGTTTTCTTCAGCTGCGTCCTCCCCCTGCTTCCCACCATAGACCACCTCCCTCCTCACAGAAGTACCTGAACTGGAGGAGCGTCAGGACCCCGGCAAGGCGCCTGCCCAGCTGCTGCAATCTCTGCCATCCGCTTCTCCATCTGCTCCAGTCGCTCTAGTATGGACATCCGGAACTGGTTGTCTGAGGGGGAATGGGTGTGGGAGGCTGAGTGGGCAGAGTCTAGGTGATGCCCTGAACACCAAAAGTAGACCTGTCCCAAGATCTGGGGATGAGGACACAGAACCATATTCTTTTATCTTCCCCAAAACAGCAGCTCCTTTACCCCAATAAAGCCCACCAGGACTCAGTCCTTAAGCTAGGGCTGTGAATACTGCCCACTGACCTAGAACCCGGATCTGGAACCAAAACTGTTTGCTTCAAGGTACAGAGGTAGTAGGAATTCCCGGATGGCCATCCAGCCTTCTGCTGTCCCAAATCCCATGCATACACACTCTTCCCCCCAGCCTTTTCCTAGGTAAAATGTTCCGTCAGTTTTTGCAGCAGACCCTACCTTTGTCCCCCATGGTGAAGGTGAAGGATTCCAGGGTCCCTCCTCTGTAATAACCACTGCCCCAAAGAGCTCAGGGACTGTGATTTGAAAAGCACCTCTCCCTCCTCCCAGCCCCCTGCAGCTGTCCACAAAGATGATGGTGGGGGAGGGAAGGTGACAGAGATGGATAGCCATGTCCATTTCTCCTCCTCCTGCCCCCCATACACACACACACACACACACACACACACACACACATATGCACGGACACACACATCCCCCAAGCTATATGTGTCCCGTCTTGAGATCAAACAAGGACAAGGGGAGGTGGGAGGGGATCAGAGCCGTAGGAAAACAGACACAGAGAAACAGGGTGAAGGTTGGAGATGTTCTGAAATGCCAGGATAGAAGGGGATAAAGGTACACGGGTGATAATAAGGGAGGAGGACAGAGAATGATTAACAGAAACCCAAGTAAAGCAAAGGGAGGAGAGAGAGCAAAAAAGATCAAGTGAAGGAGAATAAAGGACAAAGGAGGGCTGGAGGAAAGTGCCAAACGAGCAGTAAGAAAGGATGATCAAAGAGAGGCAAGTTAAAATGTTGGTTCAAGAAGAAATGGAAAGAAGAGGGATGGAAGAGACTCATAGGAGAGATGGTAAAATGCAGATTAGACAGGGACAGAGAAATAAGGTAATGAACAGTCACAGGGCAGGACAGAGACAGCACAGGACTGAGAGACCTGGCCAGATCCCAAGGTAGGCAGACTCAAGTCAGAGACAAGCAACCCAGCACACACGCAGGCTTTGTGTGGGCGCCAGCTCCAAGGCCGAGGCAAAACTAGGGACCAGAGCTCCGGAGAGAGAAGTAAGGACAGAGAGAGACTAAGATAACACAGACGGCCGCAGAACTGAGAGGAACGAAGAGGCACCAACAAAGACACCAAGAGGAAGACAGGGAGAAAAGCAAACCTTGAGAAAGCAGCAGGTGCAGACGGAAACAGTGCTTAAGGCAACGAGAGAGATAACCAGTAACAGGAACAAAAACAATCCCAGATTTAAATAAATACACACACACACACACACACATGTATGCGTGTGCCTCTGTGTTTGTGTTAGTACACCATGTTATTAGCAATGGATATCACTGAGAAGTAGTAGTATAGGAAATTTTTCTTTTCTTTTTTTTTTTGAGATGGAGTCTCGCTCTGTCGCCCAGGCTGCAGTGCAGTCGCACGATCTCAGCTCACTGCAAGCTCCGCCTCCTGGGTTCAAGCAGTTATCCTGTCTTGACCTCCCAAGTAGCTGGGACTACAGGCATCCGCCCCCACGCCCGGCTAATTTTTGTATTTTCAGTGGAGACAAGGTTTCACCATATTGGTCAGGCTTGTCTCAAACTCCTGACCTCAGGTGATCCATCCGCTCTGGCCCCACAGAGTGCTGGGATTACAAGTGTGAGCCACCAGGCCCAGTTGGAATTTTTATTTTCTATTTTGTGCTTTTGTGTAATTTCTGAATTTCCATTAATGAACGCATCTTTATAATCAGAAGAGGAAAAACAATAGAAATTTAAATACGTAACTACAACTGGGTATGGTAGCTCACGCCTGTAATCCCAACACTTTGGGAGGCTGAGCGGGGCGGATTGCTTGAGGTCAGGAGTTTGAGACCAGCCTGACCAACATGGAGAACCCTGTCTCTACTAAAAATACAAAAAAGTAGCTGGGCGTGGTGGTGGGTGCCTGTAATCCCAGCTACTCGGGAGGCTGAGGCAGGAGGATCACTTGAACCCTGGAGGTGGAGGTTGCAGTGAGCTGAGATCATGCCACTGCAATCCAGCCTGGGAGACAGAGCGAGACTCTGTCTCAAAAAAGAAGAGAAAAATAAATAATATATAAACTTGTACATAGCACCTATATGTTGCTCTGGACACTATCCCTGCCCTTCCTGTTGACCTTCCTTGTCTAGATTCCACCCTTTGGGATGGAGGGCAGGTCAAGAACTGGTATAAAGGCCGGGCGCAGTGGCTCACGCCTGTAATCCCAGCACTTTCAGAGGACGAGGCGGGCGGATCATGAGGTCAGGAGATCGAGACCATCCTGGCTAACACGGTGAAACCCTGTCTCTACTGAAAATACAAAAAAAAATAAAAAATTTAGCCGGGCGTGGTGGCGGGCACCTGTAGTCCCAGCTACTCAGGAGGCTGAGGCAGGAGAATGGCGTGAACCCAGGAGGCAGAGCTTGCAGTGAGCCGAGATCATGCCACTGCACTCTAGCCTGGGTGACAGAGTAAGACTCCGTCTCAAAAAAAAAAAAAAAGAACTGGTATAAAAATGACCCCAAGATTTATGGGGAAGAGGAGGTGAGGGAAGTTTGCTGCCACATTTAGAAATCACTAATGAAGGGCCGGGCGCAGTGGCCTCACACCTGTAATCCCAGCACTTCGGGAGGCCGAGGTGGGTGGATCATCTGAGGTCAGGAGTTTGAGACCAGCCTGACCAACGTGGAGAAACCCCGTCTCTACTAAAAACACAAAAAAATTAGCTGGGCATGGTGGCGCATGCCTGTAATCTCAGCTACTCTGGAGGCTAAGGCAGGAGAATTGCTTGAACCCGGGAGGCGGAGGTTGCAGTGAGCCAAGATTGTGCCACTGCACTCCAGCCTGGGCAACAAGAGCGAAACTCCGCCTCAAAAAAAAGAGTAGCTGAGATTGAGAGAGAAACCACTAATGAAACAGGAATTGAAAAAAAAAAAAAGAATGGTAAAGTTGGGGCTCATTGGTGGTCACCTGAACCCTGAGGGGTCTAGGAGCATGTCATGCTTGAAGGCTGTGGGCCCAATACTTTGGGTCAGAGGGCTAGGTACTCACCGTCCAGTGACAGCCAGTCAAGTTGAGTACTAGGCAGAGACAGGAATCGGCGAGCTCGATACTCAAAGAGCACAGAAGCAGAAAGGGGCCCCTCCCGCCCTGCTACCTGCAAAGACACCAGCCCTACCTCGTGGGCTGGAGAGCGCAGGATCAGCGAGAAGGGCTCTCTTTGCCTGGCTCCTTCTCTGGCTACCTGGGTCAGCCATAGACAATTATTCCACAGCTATTTCCCCTACTGCCCTGCTGTGGGCCAAGAGGCCCCTGGCTTCGGTGGCCTTGGCACTAACTGGGAAGGGAGTCCATTTGTTTGAGAACTTAATACAAACTGTGGGCCAGAGAGCCCTTGGATTCTAGACCCTGTAGTTGAAGATATTTGTTATTCAGCAAGAAGGTTTGGAAACTGAGGGTCAAGAGAGTAATTATGAACAATTTGATGTTGGAAAATCCTCTTGATTCCTGGATCAGAGTCCAGAAGTTACGACCTTGTTACTGAGATGGAGGAAAGGGGATCTCGCTGCTCATAAACAGTGTCCAGTGGCCATAAGGATGGAACCAGCAGGCCCTGATCCTAAGACTAGGTGCTGAGACTTTTTCTCCCAGTCCCCAGATTCTCTGGTCTCATCCCCTTTCCATCCACACATGCTGGACGCTGCTGCAGAGACTGGGGGCGAACACACTCACAGACGGCAAAGCTGCCAACCTGTCACTTTGGTGGTCCTTGAGGTCCCCTAGTAAGGCTGATTTTTGAGTGGAGGGTAAGGGCAAGGCTGGTGGCAAAAGGGCAGAGATGAACCTTGGCAATGAAGTCTAGATCAGTGCTGTCCAAAAGAACATTTCTGCAGTGACAAAAATGTTCTGTGTCGTCACTATCCAACAGGGTAACACCAGCCACGTGTGGCTACTGAGCACTTGGAATGTGGTCAGTGAGACTGGGGAAGTCAATTTTAAGTGTTCTTTAGCTTTAATTAAATAGGCTCGTGTGGCTAATGGCTACCATACTGGACACCACAGTTCTAAAAGCCAATGTCCTTCAGTCCCAAGACTGGTTAGAGGACACCCACATGTCTTCTTTCTCCTTCCCCCGGGAGTGGAGTGGGAGACTCTGACTCTAACTAGGCCGGAAAGCCTGGACGGACATTAGGAATCCCTTTGGTCAATGCCTAACCCTACAGGAGGGGAGGCCAAGGACCTCAGGAAGGATCAGAGTTATCTGAGGTCACTGGTTGGCTAAGGAGTAGATTTCTTGGACCAGAACCTAGATCTGACACCTAAGTCCAGGCTCTTCTGCCTGCTGGGAGAGCATGGGGCTCAACCTCAGGACTGCATGAAGTCCTTGTGCTCTCAAAACCACCCATTCGTTCCCAGTGCTTTCTGGAAGCCTGGAAGTCCTGATCTATCCTAACTGCCCCCGTCAGTCCCTCCCCCTACAGTTCCCAATCCTCATACCGGGACAGTAGCAGCGTAAGACACCAGGCTGGACAAGTGAGGCTGGTACTGCGATGTGATCAAAGACACAGGAGTAATGCTCGGCGGCCTCGGTCCAAGGACCTGTGATGAGCACCTTGACCCCACCCTGCAGACAGAAGTCAGAGACCATGTGACTGGAGTTGGGTGTTCATCCACTCCCTTATTCATGTATTCAGACCCTTATAGGGTATGTCAGGTCCTGTGCTAGAGCCTGGGGGTACAGGGATAGACAGGATCCAGTGGGGTGAGGTCAGTTAGTCTATCCCTCCCCAACATTCCTGCTAAGTGGTTGCCTGGTCTCTACCTGAATCTGCCAGCAACTGGGAATTCAGGGCCTCCCTGAAAGCTACCACAGAGCTGTCACCAGAAGGAAGTTCTGTTCTTGGTCTAATTCACCCCCACTGCAGTTCCTCCTTTCCCTCTCAAAGGCAGCACAAAACAGAACTTCTGCACTGCTGAAGACAGTCTTTCGGCTACTCAAAGTCTGCAATCACATCCCTGATCTTTCTTTTCTTCTGCAGGTTGCACAGCCCCAGTTCCCTACCCCTGAAAACAGTCAGGAAGGAAATGAGGTCCCACGAGACTCCAGAAACCATGCTAACACGTGGAAGGGAGAGGAACAGAAAAAAGGTTAAGTTGCTGAGGACTCTGGAAACAAGAAAGCAGCTTCACTCTATGTAAAAAAGAGATTGGCGCCCGGGCGCGGTGGCTCACGCCTGTGATCCCAGCACTTTGGGAGGCCAAGGCAGGCAATCACCTGAGGTCAGGAGTTCGAGACCAGCCTGGCCAACATGATGAAACCCTGTCTCTACTAAAAATACAAAAATTAGCCAGGTGCGGTGGTGGGCACCTATAATCCCAGCTACTCAGGAGGCTGAGGCAGGAAAATCATTTGAACCCAGGTGGTGGAGGTTGCAGTGAGCCGAGATCGTGCCATTGCTCTCCAGCCTGGGCGTCAGGGTGAGACTCCTTCTCAAAAAGAAAAAAAAAAAAAGACAGGGATTGGGTAGAGAACTAAGTAAAGCCTAAGAAGCCATGAAAACTGAGGGAAACTAGGTCACAGACCACGGGGTAAGCATTAATACCATTTGTTTTGGGCAGTCAGAAAACAAATGGGAGGGAGAAGGGAGGAGATAAGCCTGAGCCTCACCTCTGGGTAGGACCACTCTGGGGAGAAGTCTGTGATGGTGCTAAGAGCAGGAGAGAGTTGGGGGGTTGGAGCAGGGATGCTTGCAGCTTCCTCACTGATGAGTTCTCCCATAAGGTCTGGGAATGATGAAAGACCGAAGGGCTCCAGTTCGCTGGTCCCAACAGGTCCTCCAAACAAGGCCTCTCCTCTTCCTGCCCTGCTTGATGGCTCCAAGGGGGCAGGTGAGGGTGGGGGTGAGGGAGGGGGTGAAGGTATGGGTGGGGCAGCCCCCTGACCCTTGAGCTCCTCCCCACTGTCGTCATCTTGGATGAAGAAGCAGTTTCCTCTTCTCCCACCTGCTCCCGACTGTGGTGGGGGACCCCGAGCGGCTGCCTGGGGCTCCAGGGCAGCAGCAGGCTCTAGGGCAGAACAGGGGGTATGAGTGGCCTCTGCCTCGGGGAAGTCTGGGCTTACTCCCTGCCCCCCTCCATATGTCTGGCCCCTCTGGGGGCTGTTGAGAAAACGATCAGGGTCAAAGGCAGGACTGGGAGGAGCCGGTGGGGCAGAAGGCTCAGTGCCTACAACCACTGCCAGACTCATAGAAGGCCTAGGATCAGCCTGGGGAGCCAAGTGCCTGGTGGGCGTCAGGCCCCCAGCCCGCTGCTCCAGTCCTGTCAGGAGGAGGATAGCCGTGCCTCCTCTTGAAGAACCCCCTCGAGAAGTGGGTGGGCTAGGTCTGATTTCCAGGGGCTCTGCAAAACCTGATGAGGAGGAAGAAGAGGAAGAAGATGGGGAGGTGTGTGCCTTAGGGAGCTCTGGGGGAAGTGGGGTTATCAGTGGAGGAGGCTCTGGGGGGTGAGTGTGGGGGACAGAGGTCAGGGTTAAAGCTCGGGGCTCCACTTTGGGAGAGATGATGCGGTGTTTCGTGCTGCTGCATTTGTGGGTAAGGCTCCCAGAACCTGGAGTGGAGAGGAGTAGGAAGGAGAGAAGGTAAGATGCTTCATTCCGTACCCTTCTCTACCTCGAAGCCCTCAGAAGTATTTCCTGGGACATCCCTATAAACCAGAGGTGTAATACTGATTGTAGCCACTGGGAGGCATGAGAAATGTCTGTTCTCTACCCCTACCCTTTATTGCCCCTCCCCCTCTCTGTTTCCCCCCAAAACAAGCAAAACCAGAGGAACACCGCAGAGGAGAACTGAGGGCTTGGGAGAGTAGCTAAAAGCCAAAGGTAAAGGCATAGGAAAAGGACAAAAGAACAGAACCAAGGGGGTGCCAACTAGGAGGAAGGCTAAGGCTGAGTGTCCTTGGTGGTGCTGAGGTGACAGGGATTGCTGAAGGTAGAAGACAAGAAGGGCAGAGGCTGCCAGGACAGCTGAGTGCAAGGCTGCAGCCAGTGTGCACCCAGATGGGAACATCTCTGTTCATTTGGCTCATCTTTCTGGGACATGCAAAAGACCTGCAAATCAGCATGCAAATCCCATCAAGACGGATATCCCCCTGGCTTGCGTAAGAGCAGGGTGGCTTGGTGGGAAGACAGCCAAAAGGTCAGGCAGTAACTTACCAAGTCCCCCACTGCAGAGGCAGGCGTGGGTTCGGGGCGCAGGCTTGGTTGGGTGGGTGTCCAAAATCTGCTGCACCAGCTGTTCTACAGAGAACTCCTCTGTTCCATTCCCACAGCTCCACTTGATGCCATGAACTAGAGAAGTTAGGGGGAAGTGCTGTGGGACCCCCACGAAACAGGCCCCAGAGTACCTTGATGGCTCCTCCAAGCACCTGACACGCTTCAAGACTTCTGGCCAGGTGAACAGAGGCCAGCAGCCTCAAGACTGCTCAGACATGTCGCTTTAGTCCTTTCTCCGTATTCTAATACCTGAGAACACGCCAGGAATCCTAGCACCCTCCCAGCTTGGAGGGAGACGATCAGCCCTCAGGCTTTGGGTCCAGAACCATGGCCCCGCTGGGAGCCCTGTTTCTACTCTCCCCTGGGAGCTCTATCCCCACCCTGCTGCCTTACACATGGGCTTCAGCTGTCCCAACAACTCCTCCCGGGACCACTTCAGCCACTCTCGACGGTCGCTGCTGATGGAACAAAAGATGGGGCTGCAGCCCTTTCCACAGTCCTCCAGGGCTGGGACGTTCAGGTAGTGCACAAGGACGATGTCAGGGTTCTGAGAGCATAAGGGGACACACAGAGCCATGGGGTCCTGAGGTCCAGGGGCTCAGCTTCCTAATCCTCACTTCTTCCTGGGCACCCTCCTAACCTCACCCCCAATTTCTGACTCTCTCCATCCCCAAGCCCCTTTCTCTTCTTCCCAGGCTCCTTTCCTCACTCAGAACTTAGTCATCCTTTCACTTCCTTCTTTCAGACCCTCAAAAAACCAGGAAGACTGTGGCTCCCTGGGCTCTTCCGTCCTTACCTGGAGCAGCCAGTAGCAGCGCCGATGGAATGTGGGGACGATGGAAGAGTGAACGTAGCAGCCATAGAGACACTGCCAGGAGACAGGCTGGGGTGGGGGGAGGGCTAGTCTGCTCCCCAACTCTTCCTCTGTTCAGTCCCTTTGCAGGAATCCCAATCTTTCCACCAGTTCCTCTTCAACCCTTCCCCCACCCTCGCCCCCACCTAGTCCCCATCCCTTTTGAAGCCCAGCAGCCCTGAGTCATAGATGAGCAGTGGGGCTGGGGCCTTACAGTGAGGACCAGATTTGAGATATGGGACTATCTAGAAACCAGACGGCAGAGCAAGAACGCATCTGAGATGAGGGGCAGTGATCTGGGGAAGAGAAACCTGTGCTGAGAGCATCACTGCTGGGATCTCTGAGGGAAACACAAGAGCAGTGAGCGGCCTGGGCATCAGTGTTCTGGAAGACAGGCATGGCCTACGGCCTGGAGGGAAATGGGAAGTGGAGAGTGGCCAAAGTAATGTCAGCCGACCCAGAGTGAGTGAGAAGGGAAGAGTAACTGGGAGGGGGCTGAGGTGGACAATGCCGCCAAGCCCTGGTAGGGCTACAGTCCAGCTAAGGGTGGAGGAGGGCAGGCTCAGGAAGATGAGCTGAATGTCTGACTCTCTTACCTCCATGCCCTGGACCTTCAGCTTCATGTGGTCCTCTCGGGTGGTCTTCCCATCCTTCCGCTTCTTCCAGAGGTAACCGTCCTTCCGATATTTCACCTTCTTGCGATTGTAGAGGATGATGGAGCCATTCTGAGGCCTGTGAAGGGAAGGGTTGCCCTGGAATTCTGTGAACAGAACCCAGAACCCCTGCCACTTCCCCACGTTCTCAAACTTTCTCACCTTGTCTTTGGGGCACAAGACAGCCACTCATCATGCTTCTCAAAGGTGATCAGGTAGGATGCAATCTCCTGTAGAAGAGTAGGCACTCAGGTGGGTGTCTCCTTCATAGTCTCAGCCTGACCTCTTGGTCATCCTGTCAGTGTCTCTCTCTGCTGAATTGTGGCAGCTAGTGGAGGATGCTTCTAGGTATCTGGACCCAGCAAGACCCACTGCCCTCCTAAGAACCCCTCTTTTGTCCTAAGACAAAAGTCTAACATTTTATCCTTCCCTTACTCCCACCTGGGGCCTTTATCTTGGGGGCAGGCCCACATTCTTCATCGTCCATTCATCATACTGTGAATTATTTTACTCCCCAAAAATCTCATTTCTGTGCCCCTTGCTTTTTTTTTCTTTTCTTTTCTTTTGAGATGGAGTTTCACTTTTGTTGCCCAGGCTGGAGTGCAATGACGCGATCTCAGCTCACTGCAACCTCTGCCTCCCAGGTTCAAGCAGTTCTCCTGCCTCAGCCTCCCAAGTAGCTGGGATTATAGGCATGCGCTACCACACCCAGGTAATTTTGTTGTTTGTTTTGTTTTGTTTTGTTTTGAGTAGAGATGGGGTTTCTCCACATTGCTCAGGCTGATCTCGAACTTCAGACCTCAGGTGATCCACCCGCCTTGGCCTCCCAAAGTGCTGGGATTATAGGCGTGAGCCACCACGCTTGGCCTCTGTGCCCCTTCCTAAATTTCAGTAGTTTGACACTGCCAGGAATTTCAGATTCTTTTATTGATTGATTGATTGATTGATTGATTGATTGAGACAGAGTCTCGCTCTGTCGCCCAGGCTGGAGTGCAGTGGCGTGATCTCAGCTCACTGCAAGCTCCACCTCCTGGGTTCACACCATTCTCCTGCCTCAGCCTCCCGAGTAGCTGGGACTACAGGCACCCGCCACCACGCCTGGCTAATTTTTTGTATTTTTAGTAGAGACAGGGTTTCACCGTGTTAACCAGGCTGGTCTCGATCACCTGACCTCATGATCCGCCTGCCTTGGCCTCCCAAAGTGCTGGGATTACAGGCGTGAGCCACCGTGCCTGGCAGGAATTTCAGATTCTTTAATTTTTTTTTTTTTTTGAGACGGAGTCTCGCTCTGTCGCCCAGGCTGGAGTGCAATGGCCGGATCTCAGCTCACTGCAAGCTCCGCCTTCCGGGTTTATGCCATTCTCCTGCCTCAGCCTCCCGAGTAGCTGGGACTACAGGCGCCCACCACCTCGTCCGGCTAGTTTTTTGTATTTTTTAGTAGAGATGGGGTTTCACCGTGTTAGCCAGGCTGGTCTCGATCTCCCGACCTCGTGATCCACCCGTCTCAGCCTCCCAAAGTGCTGGGATTACAGGCTTGAGCCACCACGCCCGGCCTGGAATTTCAGATTCTTTAGCCTGACTCCAAGGTTCTCCCCAACAAGGGATCAAACTTTCACTGTGCCCACTATTTACCCATACTGCTCCTACAATTCCTACCAGATGGGTCCATTGATTCCTTCCTGAACATGCTTTGAACAGTTACCTCCTGCATGTTAGTGCCCTACAAGGCAGGTACCATGTGCACACCTGTCCGTGTCTGGAAATCCTAGCCATTCCATAAACCAAACCCCTTTTCAGATGCTCCATGAAGCCCTGCTGACCACACTGGCCCTTCCTAAAGGCTCTAGAGCACAACAATCACACATACACACATACGCACACCCTTTTACTGACAGTTCTCTTCTGACATCAAATTGATAAATATTAACAACCAACTACATACAAGACACTAAGTATGCAGAATACAGAAGGTGTGTACACAAGGACTGTGCCCCCTCCAGAAGGAGCCAGTATCAGTGGTGGTTAAGAACAAAGGTTCCGGCCAGGCATGGTGGCTCATGCCTGTAATCCCAGCACTGTAGGAGGCCGAGGCGGGTGGATCACTAGGTCCAGTGTTCGAGACCAGCCTGGCCAACCTAGTGAAACCCTGTCTCTACTAAAAATACAAAAATTAGCTGGGTGTGGTGGTGCGCCTGTAGTCCCAGCTACTCGGGAGGCTGAGGCAGAAGAATCACTTGAACCTGGGAGGCGGAGGTTGCAGTGAGCCAAGACCGCGCACCACTGCACTCCAGCCTGGGCGACAGAGTGAGACTCCATCTCAAAAAAAAAAAAAAAAAAAAAGCCGAACTCGGTGGCTCACACCTGTAATCCCAGCACTTGGGGAGGCCAAAACAGAACGATCACCTGAGGTCAGGAGTTTGAGACCAGCCTGACCAACATGGTGGCACACGCCTGTAATCCCAGCTACTTGGGAGGCTGAGGCAGGAGAATCGTTTGAACCCAGGAGGCAGGGGTTGCAGTGAGCTGAGATCACCGTGCCATTGCACTCCAGCCTGGGCAACAAGAGTGAGACTCCATCTCAAAACAAAAAAGGGAGGGGGGGCTCTGGAGTAAGTTAGATAAACTATGAGGTAAATCAGTTTCCTCATCAATAACATAGGAGCAATAACAGGGCTTGCTCTGTAGCATCCTTAGAGGATTAAACGAGACAAGGCCGGCCAAGTGTTCAGCACAGTGCCTAGTATTTTATTGGCAGTAGCCTTTGTTTTTACCAGGGGGCTATGCCATGGAAAAGAGGGCTCCTACAAGATCCATGTCTTTTTTTTTTTTTTTTTTTTTTTTTTGAGACAGAGTCTCGCTCTGTCGCCCAGGCTGTAGTGCAGTGGCGCAATCTCGGCTCACTGCAGCCTCCGCCTCCCTGGCTCAAATGATTCTCCTGCCTCAGCCTCCCAAGTAGCTGGGAATACAGCCGCACATCACCACGCCTGGCTGATTTTTTGTAATTTTAGTAGAGACAGGTTCCACCATGTTGGCCAGGCTGGTCTTGAACTCCTGACCTCAGGTGATCCACCCGCCTCAGCCTCCCAAAGTGCTGGGCTTACAGGCGTGAGCCACCGCACCTGGCCAAGATCCATGTTCTTTATACCTCTCCTATGATCCCCAAAGAGCTCAGAATGGTGCTCTGCAGTTAAGAGTGTCGAGAGACACGGAAAGACCCCCCACTCACCCTCCTCCAGCCTACTAGGTCTTGCTGGGCCCCAACCCCCAGCCTCCCTAGAAAACCTCATTTGTATTCCACCGTAGCCTCTCTGGAGGCAGCAGCGGGCAGCGAGGAAGACACTCCAGCAGCTTCTTGGGGAGAAAGATCTTCAGGTGGTGGCTGTTTTCTAGAGGGAATTAGAAGGGAGGGTTTAGTGTGCTACCCCGGGGCATCCCTGTCCAAGGGGAAAGGGCTGAAGGCAATACAGAGCACTGGGGAGAACTGAAACCTCACTAAGGAGAACAAGGAATCCAAGAATTAGAGGGCTACTAAGGCATGGGGAGAACGAAAGGCTGTGGCCACATTGGGAACCTGCTTTGTGAACTTACCAGCAACCTCGGTGGTGTCCTTGGTATTCATGGTGAGGGTTCCGGGGGGCAAGGTCACCCCCGGCCTGAGGGGCCGGGGGGAGGGGGAGTCTGTGCTGGGAAGGGAGAGAACAAGGTCATGGCAGAAACCCCCACATTAATCCAGGATGAGAAGTATGAGGTGGGGAGTGAGTATAGAACTGGGTCATAGTATCTGGGAAGGATGAGGAAAGGGAGGGAGGGGCTGACTGTGATGTGACAGTAGAAGGGAGAACCAGACACGATGCCCAGAGTCCATATGAGTGAGGAGACTGGACAGAAAGAGTGAGCAGGAAGAAATGGGTTGGGGTGGGGGAGGGGAGAAGACAGGCAGGTCTGGGGCCTCAGAGGCCCTAAAGCTTGAGCTTTTGCACAGACTGGGGCTATGGCTGGGTCAGGTCCTGGGGGTTGGGACTCAGGCCATCCGGTCCTTGGAGGATGGTTTGGCGAGACAGCCAGGATCCTGGGGGCAGGGCAGGAGATTCTACCTCCGGTAGAGAGCTAGGCCTTTAGAAGACACGCCCTGAGTTCCTTCTCTATTTGATTTTTCCAAGGGGGAAGGGCAGATCTGATAACTGAGCCTAACCTATTCTCTCCTCCAGGTTGGTTAGGACCTGACAGAATCTGGGCCAGATACCCAGATTCCCACCCTCAGGACCACCCGCCCTCCAGCTGACAGCCTTCTCTACCTCCCTCTCCCCAAACGCCTCTGCCTCCCCTGGCCTCCAGGCCTAGCCTACCCCATCTACCGCTCTGGCTCCAGCCTGAGCCCCCCGCCCTTCTGGGGGAACAGATGGGAGCTGGAGGAGGCTCTCAGCACGGGCTCCGCCAGGTGTCCAGGATGGAGATGGGAGGAGGCCCGTCGGGCTCGACTGTGTGCAGTGAAGCTGGGGTTGGGGTAAGGACTCCGCCCCAGGGCGCAGGTGCGCAGTCCCGGCTAAGGCAGTCTGCCAGGGTGCAGAGCGGGAGCGGGTCCTTGGGCCGCACTTGGGCGGCGCCGGATCGGACACTTGGCACTCTGGGCGGCCCCCCGGCGGAGTGGTGGTCCCAGGAGAACCTTCGAGGTGGGAGGGTCCCGCCCGCATAGAGGGATGTTCTGGAGAAGCCGGAAGCAGAGTCCGCGGGCACGCGGTGGGCGAGGGACAGTGCGGGTGCCGGGTGCGGGGGTCTCCGGGACAGTCCCCGGCACGCGCTGGTCCGCCGTGGGGCCCTGCGATGAGCGGCGCCCCCTGGCGCGGGGGAGGAGGACGGAAGCGGGAGGTGAGGGCGAACGGGGAGGAGGGACGGTGGTCCCCGGCGCGGCGCTCCGCGTCAGGGCCTGGAGGAGCTGCGCCCCCTGGCGCGGGGGCGGAGAGGCGGGCGAGAGGCCCTGGCTCTTACCTCCCGGGGTCCCGCGGGTGACGGCGGCAGCGGCCATTCTACCCCACACCGACCCCCCCCCAGCGCCGGCTGACAGCGGCGTCCGACGTCACTGCGCACGGGGCGGGGCTTCCCAATTAAGGGGATGGGGGTCAGGAAGGGAACCTGGGGTCAGCACACGTGGGGTTCTGGGTGGGGCGCTGGGCAGAGGGACTCGGCTTCTGAGGCTCTGAGCCAGGCCGAGGGACATACTACTGGGAAGTCCCCAAAAGGGCAGCAGCGCTGAGGGGCAGGATTCCAGGGTCCTGGAGGCGGAAGCTCGGCCGACGAACTCCCAGTCCGAGAGAACGGGGCAGGGGCGGCCGACCGGTGCTGGAACCCGAGGGGCCGGGCGAGGAACACAGGACTGGGAGCAGGACCCTTCTCGCCTCGGACAAGACTCCTTGAATTTGGGGACCCAGCCCGACTTCATTGTAGCTGAGTCCTCGAGAAAGCGAAAGGAGCCCTCCTTCCCCATTGGCCTCTCCATCGCTGCATCCCAAGAAGAAAGACAACTCGGGCTCCACTTGCTTGCTTTTTAATAACAGAGCAGAGAGAACACAAGGCCAGGGGCGGGGCCTGGAGGAAAACAGGACTTGGGGTGCTCCTGTGAGAGCGGTGGGTTGATTTGGGAGCCCAGGGGGGTTGTTAATGCCTAGTTCAGAGGATGGGAAAGGCAATTGGAGAGGCTAAGGAAGGGGAAACGCCTTCATGTCAGCAATGGGGGTGACTCTAATGACGGAACTAGTCTTGGGTCCCTGGGGCACCACCAGTATCTCGGCATCGGTGGTTTCTCTTTACTCTTCAGACGCTGCCAACTGCATCCCCCAGGGATTGTGAAGGGGGTTCCTCCTGGCTGTGACCGTGCTGAAGGAGGCCAGAGAGTGCAGCTGCCTGGAGGCACAAGCTGCCTCCTGACCCAGGGGACTCCAGGGAGACCAAAGCAGCTGTAAAGATGAGAGAAATTGAAAACGAGAATGGAAAAGTAGGTCTTTTTTCCAGATTTCCTAGTACCCAAGCTTAGGTACCTCAAAGTCTCTGGCTCTCAGCTACGTTATTTTTGTTCCTCTCAAATCCAGCTCTCCAACCTGGTTCTCAGCTTCTACTGCATCTCCATGCAACACCAGAAACCCACGTCACTCCCTCTCACTCCACCCAGTTCCACTCCAACAATACCTGGGCCCTGCCAGGAGTGAGAAAACTGTTCTCTTCCTGTGGATAGGTTGCCCTCTCCTCTTCCAGATCAGGGTATTCATCGGTGCTGGGAAATCCACAGCCCTCTTCGCCAAGCACCACTGGCTCAGATGCAGCCCCAGAGCTGCCCCACTGGGCCTTCTTCAGTCTGTGGAGACTTTAGGCTGAGGAGAGAAGTACCTGGAGACCAGGCTTCCTGTCTCTCCATTCTTCACCTTTCTGTTCTGAAATACTTCCTGCTGGGACTCCAGGGAGTTGTCATTTGACCTCTAACTCTCCACTCCCAATTTTCTGCTCCCCTCAGACTGAAGCATATTGTCTAGGAACCCAGAGGTGACCCCAGCCTCCCCACTGTCCTCCAGTTCTACGGTTTGCTTTCCTGTCTTCAGTGATCCAGTTTCTACTCCTTCCAGCTCAAGTGGCTCATCCTCCTTACCGCAATTCCCTCCTCCTTTTCATATTACAAAAATCTGTCTCAATCACACCAAAGCCCACAGCTTCCTCCCAAGCAGTCTCCCCTCAAAGCTCCCCTCAAACCTCCCCTCAAAGCTCTCAACCCCTTCCTTAGCTCAAACTGTTCTGCCCCCAAATCCTGCATGACTGCCAGAACCTAGATGTCTCCCTTCCTTACTCATTGATGATGCTCTGACGCCTTCTTAGGTCCTCCAGGTGGTAAGTGACAGCCCTCACCCGGGCGGGGACCCCCCCAAGCCCCTGCTGCTGCATTCTCTCCAAACATGGCCTCCTCTTCTTTCTTCTCCAAAGCATTTCAGGGGGTGGGAGCTGCTCAGGAGGATACAGACCAAGCTGGGAGCAACCAGTGGCTCTCTGTGCCAGAGAATGGGGAAAAAGAGCTAGAAAAAAGAACTGGCTCTCTCAAGGGAGCTTGGATTGAACTAGGTAGGGAGTCCGGGGTCTTAGGAAGACCCCTGTGATATCTCGAAAACATGATGACTGATTCATAGAAAGGAAGTGCACTGGTTGGGGAATACCATAGGGAAGCAGTGATGAGGAGAGCTTGGGACAGGATAGCAGTGGGTGCAGTTTTAACAGAGAACTGTTGAAGGCAGAGGGTCTATCTTACCAGCATGGGTGGAATGTGCTGCTCCTCCAGCCAAGTGAGGCTGTGAAGAACAAAAAGGGGGCTATAAGTGCAGAGGGGACACGTCCATCCATATTGCTGCTTCAATAATCTCTCCCAACCTCCTTTCTGTCATTAGGAGCTACAATGTCCACCAGCCAGTGGGAAATTAACCCCAGACTAGGGCCTATTGCTATATGGGTTTATGGTAGTTTAATCCAGTTAAGACCACATCCAGCTGGTATCCATTTTCTCCTCTACTCACCTGGGCCTTTGACTAAGGTTCTTCCAGAAGACATCTCCATAACGCTGGGGCATGAGTCTGAGGCTCTGGGAAGGCAACCTTGGTGGTGGAGATCGGCTGACCACCCTGGAACACCTGAGGGGAGGACAAGGTAGGCTCAGGTCTGGCTCTTCCCTTACAGCAATCTACTTACCCGAAGGATTCAAGGGCCATCTTTCCGTGGGACTATAAAGCTGCCCAGGTTCCCTCAGGCCGTGTTCTCTCTTAACTACTTTAGCTGAAGAAGGTGGTAAGGCCTCTGCCTTGAAAGGAAATTGAAGCTGGGTTGAGGGTGGAGATTGGTTGTAGTTTGACCCTCAGATCTCACTGAGTCTAAGCTCTATACTGGGGATATCCAATCTTTTGGCTTCCTGGGCCACATTGGAAGAAGAAAAATTGTCTTGGGCCACACATAAAGTACACTAACACTGGCCGGGCATGATGGCTCACGCCTGTAATCCCAACACTTTGGGAGGCCAGTGTGAGTGGATCACTTGAGATCTGAAGTCCAAGATCAGCCTGGCCAACATGTTGAAACCCCGCCTCTACTAAAACTACAAAAAATTAGCCAGGTGTGATGGCAGGCACCTGTAATCTCAGCTACTTGGGAGGCTGAGGCAGGAGAATCCTGCCAGAGGGTGGAGGTTGCAGTGAGCCAAGATCGCGCCATAGTACTCCAGCCTGGGCAACAAGGGAGAAACTCCGTCTCAAAAAAGAAAAAAAGGCCAGGCGTGGTGGCTCACGCCTGTAATCCCAGAACTTTGGGAGGCCAAGGCGGGTGGATCACAAGGTCAGGAGATAGAGACCATGGTGAAACCCCGTCTCTATTAAAAATACAAAAAATTAGCTGGGCGCGGTGGCAGGTGCCTGTAGTCCCAGCTACTCAGGAGGCTGAGGCAGGAGAATGGTGGGAACCCAGGAGGCGGAGCTTGCAGTGAGCCGAGATGGCGCCACTGCACTCCAGCCTGGGGGACGGAGCGAGACTCCGTCTCACAAAGAAAAAAAAAAAAATCACAAAAAAATTCATAATTTTATTTATTTATTTATTTGAGATGGCATTTCGCTTTTGTCGCCCAGGCTGGAGTGCAATAGCACGATCTTAGCTCACGGCAACCTCCGCCTCCCAGGTTCAAGCGATTCTCATGCCTCAGCCTCTCGAGTAGCTGGGATTACAGGCGAGCACCACCGTGCCTGGCTAATTTTTGTATTTCTAGTAGAGATGGGGTTTTGCCATGTTGGCCAGGCTGGTCTCGAACTCCTGATCGCAGGTGATCCGCCCGCCTCGGCCTCCCAAAGTGCTGGGATTACAGGAGTCAGCCACCACACCTGGCCCTGTGTTTTAATAGTACCCATCATTAACTGAAATTTTATTTGTTTACACATTCTAGAATGTGTTCCCCTCTCTAGAATGTAAGCTCTACAAGAGCAGGACCTCTATCCTGCTAATTGCTGAATCCCCAGTGCCTAATACAGTCCCTGGAACACTGTTGTGTTCAAACTATTTGTTGAATAAATTAATGAATCATCAATCCCCTGAGACCAGGCATTGCATTTCCTATTCTTTATTTTCTAATCCTCTTAGGGAAGGACCCAGGCATGCAATATTCCCTCCATCCCCTCCCCATGCTCCCCACCCAGTGGGAGGACTCACTTGGCAAAGGGGATGAGGTTGCCTCCATCATCCTGCACCTGCATGACTGGACTGGGCTGGGTAGCTAGTTTCCTTTTTGGTGCTGGGAGGATAATGGAAAAGAAGTCATTCATTCCTGCTAGGCATGGTGGCTCACGCCTGTAATCCCAGCACTTTGGGAGGCCAAGGCAGGCGGATCATGAGGTCAGGAGTTCGAGACCAACCTGGCCAATATGGTGAAACCTCATCTCTACTAAAAATACAAAAATTAGTAGGGCGTGGTGCTGTGCACCTGTAATCCCAGCTACCCACAAGGCTGAGGCAGAAGAATCGCTTGAACCTGGGAGTCGGAGGTTGCAGTGAGCTGAGATCATGCCACTGCACTCCAGCCTGGGGGACAGAGCAAGACTCCGACACACAAAAAAAAAAAAAAAAAAAAAAAAAAGACATTCATTCATATAATGTCTGTAGGGATGAGACCAGTAGCAGATCTAGAGACTGGAAAAAGAACATATGGATGCTGAAAAAAAGAGAGAGCTTAAAAGGTATTTGTAGCGGCTGGGCACGGTGGCGCATGCCTGTAATCCCAGCCCTTTGGGAGGCCAAGGTAGGCGGATCACCTGAGGTCGGGAGTTCAAGACCAGTCTGACCAACATGGAGAAACCCCATCTCTACTAAAAATACAAAATTAGCTGGGCATGGTGGTGCATGCCTCTAATCCCAGCTACTCGGGAGGCTCAGGCAGAAGAATCGTTTGAACCAGGGAGTAGGAAGTTGCAGTGAGCTGAAATTGCACCAGTGCACTCCAGCCTGGCAACAGAGCAAGACTCTATCTCAAAAAAAAAAGAAAAAGAAAAAGGTATTTGTAGTGCTGGACTATTAATTGAACATTAGGTTGAAGACAGTGAGCATAGGAAAAGTGGATATGGTAAAAAGATAAAGGAGAAAGCAAACCTTCTGAAGCTAAATGTGCAAAATAAGTGAAATTTACAGATGGCAGTTAAGTGACAACTGGCAATATGGAACAATTAAATTGAAAAATAATGACAGTGGAGATTGGATGGGGCAGAGGCATTTGGGGGTAAGAGAAGTGACAGAATTGAGGGTTCTCAATGAATCAACTGAGTGGTTAGTGAAAGTTAAGTGTGTGGACTGGGCGCTGTGGCTCACACCTGTAATCCCAGCACTTTGAGGGGCTGGGGCGTGAGAATTGCCTGACCTTAGGAGTTGGAGACCAGCCTGGGCAACACAGAGAGACATCATCTCTATTTTAAAAAAAAGTTGGCCGGGTGTGGTGGCTCATGCCTGTAATCCCAGCACTCTGGGAGGCCGAGGCGGGTGGATCACCTGAGGTTGGGAGTTCGAGACCAGTCTGACCAACATGGAGAAACCCTGTCTCTACTAAAAAATACAAAAATTAGCTGAGTGGTGGCGGGTGCCTGTAATTCCAGCTACTCAGGAGGCTGAGGCAGGAGAATCGCTTGAATTGGGGAGGCAGAGGTTGCGGTGAGTAGAGATCATCCCATTGCACTCTAGCCTGGGCAACAAGAGTGAAACTCTGTCTCAAAAATAAATAAATTTTAAAAAGTTAAGTGTGGACATAATGGTCAACTGGTGACAGGGAAGGAGGGGGCAGTTGGGAATGCCTGTGGATAGGAAGGTGAGCAGGGAGGTCAGTTGCATATAGCTAAAATGAGGGACAGCCAAAGATGACCTGAAGGCCAGCTGGGGTGGGGAGAAAGGGCAGTTAAGGCTGGGGAGAGTGGCTAACGCCTGTAATCCCAGCAATTTGGGAGGTGGAAGTGGGTGGATCACTTGAGCCCAGGAGTTTGAGAACAGCCTGGGCAACATGGCAAAAACCCCTCTCTACAAAAATACAAAAAAATTTAGCCAAGTGTGGTGGTGTGCACTTGTACCTGGGAGGCTGAGGTGGGAGTATCATCTGAGCCCTGGGAGGTCAAGGCTGCAGTGAGGTGAGATCACACCACTGCACTCCAGCCTGGGCGTCAGAGTGAGACCCTGTCTCTAAGAAGAAGAAGAAAAAAAAAGCCAGGCGCGGTGGCTCAAGACTGTAATCCCAGTATTTTGGGAGGCCAAGGTGGGCGGATCACTTGAGGTCAGGAGTTTGAGACCAGCCTGACTAACACAGTGAAACCCTGTCTCTACTAAAATTACAAAAATTAGCCGGGTGTGGTGGTGTGCACCTGTAATCCCAGCTATTCAGAAGGCTGAGTCAGGATAATTGCTTGAACCCAGGAGGCGGAGGTTGCCATGAGCCGAGGTTGCACCACTGAACTCCAGCCTGGGCGACAAAGCAAGACTCCGTCTCAAAGCAAACAAACAAACAAAAAACACAAAAACTAGATAAGTTAGGAGAGAGTGCCTGTAGGCTCCTGAAGGACAGAAGCAGCCAGCTAGAACTGTAGAGGTGAACTAGCATTTATCCAAGGGAACTAGGGATGGCCTAAGCAAGCAGGTGAGGTCAAAGGCGGAGAGAGGTCAAAGGTTGGAGTTGAGCTGAAAGGGCCTAAAGTGGGGTCTAAAGGGGATGTCCTGACTCGGAGGGGGGTCAGCAGAACGCGGGGGGCTGGGGGGGGGGGGGAAAGGGGGAGCTGCGGGGCATTCGGGCCTCAGATAAGTGGGGCCCAAGCGGGTGACCTAGATCCAAGGGCAGGACGGAGCTGAAGGAAGCCAGGAAGGATCCTCCACAGTTGACTTCGGGGTAGCCACGGCCCGGGCCTGCAAGGGTGGATGAGGACCCGAGAGTCAGGCTGGGGCTGAGGGGCTGCCTGGAGCCTGGAGCCCCGCTGGAGGGAAGCGCCGGGCCGGAGAGCGCGGCGGGCGCCTGAAAGGGCGACCCGGACCCTCGACAGGTGGACCGGGCGCGGCCGGACCTTCCGGGCAGCCCAGCCTGGGGGCTGCGTCCCCCGAGAGGGGCCCTGAGGTGGTGGGCCCAGGCTGAGCGGCAGGCTGGGGCCTGAGAGGAGCCCCGCGTCTGAGGGGGCAGCTCCGGCCTTAGGCGGCACCCGGGCCTGAAGGGATTGTTTGGGCCTGAGGCGGCGTCCGGGGCGGCCGAACTTGAGGGCCAGGCGGGGACAGAGCGCCCGAGTCGCACTTGGCCCCAGCACCT